GAACAAAATCAGTTAGTGCCAACCTTTCCTAAGGCCACACCAGAAGAAGTATAAATGGGTACTCAAAGGCATGAACCCACAGGACAAGGGGCTCTTCAGAGACCGAGGATATACAGAATAGGGTTTAGAAGCCTGCTAGACCAAGAAAAGCAGATCACTAGCAAAGAGCCCAGGAAATCAGGCAGCAGACATTCATACCTTAAAAACTTCAAAGACCAGGGAAGGCTTAGGGCTAGTTACCACCAAAAGTGGGAGTAGAAAAACTGTAAATTAATACAGGACACTCAACTACTAAATACAGTGTGGGTTGGACTCTCAAGTGTGAAAAAGTGTAATAGTGGTTATATCCATTTTTCTCCTTGCTGTGACAAAACTGTGTCATTTAGGGGCCAGAAAGATGGCTCAGCTTATCAAGACCTCAGCATCCTTGCCCCCTGGCTCACAACGGACCCTGGATCTAGGAGATCTGACTCCCTCTTCTGGCTTTTATGGGTACTGCACCCACGTGGCATACACAAAAAGACACATGAACAAAAATTAAAATTTTAAATGTGTCATTTAGTTGATATTAATGCACCAAGGTTAATTTCTTCTGATTATTGTCGTTTGATTATGTAAGATGCTAATATATGGAAATCATGTGTAGGATGTATAGAAATTTTCAACTATTCTAGAAAATTCTAAAATAAATGTGATTTTTTTTAAAAATGCAAAGTCAGTAATGGTATTTTTTTCCATTTACATTTTTCCAGTTTCTGTATATTCTAAAATATACATGTTTATTATATCCACAGTAGAAAATGTCCTTGTGATGTAATGAAACATTTAGGCAGCCTCACTAAACCGCTTTCTGGAAGCCAGAATACCCTGGGTATTGAGTGCTATGATTTAAAAGTGGGTCCCAAAGAGTTCACAGAATCACAACCCACCCACCTTCAACATTTCAAGGTATTCAAAGAATATTTGTTAACATTTATTTTTCTTTTATTTATTCTTTGAAATATTCACATTTAAGCAATGTATCTGAATCCTACCCATTCCTCACTCCTCCCTCTAATTACTTAGTCTCCAAGACTCCTCATCATATTACCCTCCAAACTTTGCATTCTTCTTTATAATATTTTTTAAACACCCTGAATCCAATTATTGCATGCATGGGCATGAGGTCATCCACTGGGGCATGTGGCCACATTTGCCCCCAAAGTGACTACACACACACAGAAAGAGAGAGAGAGAGAGAGAGAGAGAGAGAGAGAGAGAGAGAGA